ATATGAATCAGTTGGAATAATGAGGCGCACTGATGCAGGATTCTCCTTCCACCTCCGGATACATCAGCTTCAGGGTTGCTTTGTGCCAGCAGTGCTTATGTGAAGGTAAGAATCTGTATTTATTGGATTCATAGCTAACCTTGATGCTTTGATATGATTTTTTTCCCTAAATCGGTCAACAGAGTGTTAACCATGCACTGATTCAAATTAGCATCTACTGCAGCAGTAACACATGCCAGTTTTATCTTTCCCCTTTTCAATCCAAAATAAAAAAATACTGTCATGCAAGTTTATAGTACTCTGTTCTAAAACAGATAAAAATAGGACAATTAAGTGTATTCACCATGTATTAATTCAATTTCCCCTTTCCCCATTAGTCCTGACTGAGCTTCAACAGCAAATTACTTAACAAAATAGGCAACTGGCAAATAATTGCAATGCACAAACCTACTGATCTTCTCATTAGTTAAGTCTATTTTGGTAAAGTGGGTTGACTGATTTAGAGCATGAGTCAGTTCTGCCATACAAATTCCAGTCATAGTAGAATTTCTATACAGTCACACATGCCTCTGAGCTAAATATTTTCTTTCTTACAGCTCAGTGATTCTGGAGGAAGAGAAAATAATGTATTCCCTTGAATTCAGTGGGAAGGTCTAGGCACTAGTAAGAATCACAGGACTAGGGGCCTGACTTAAAGCAGGTGAAACATCACCAAATAACTACATAGGAAGCAAAACCAAATTCCATTATATTTTAAAATCAGTACGAAGGAATGTCTTTAGGTTAGTTAGAAGACTATACATTTCTTTTTACTTTATTTTTGTGATTAATTATACAGTCAATATACCCATTTAAGTACAGAGTCAGACCATTAAGATTTGATTCTGCAAACAGTTGCTCCAACAGCAACAGGCAACTTTGGCTTTCATCTGAATAAGGTTATTAATCTGCCTGTAACCATTATAACACGCTCACCCTTGAGATGAGCTGCTGCGGCTCTTAGGGTCCACGGCTGTTCATCAGTGCTCCCTGGGTAGAGGCAGTAACTATGTAAGTGTTTCTAATCCCATTCAGGACCCTGGAGTAGCTGCCTTCCGAAGGTATGTAGAATCCAGTCCAGTTCGGCCTGTCCTAGCTTTTGCAAAGCCTTAGTTATGAATCTTTCTTTTTTACTCATTGAATATTGAAAATAATGTATGGTTTTATTTCACCCTTAAATACCACTAGTCGTCTTTTTATTCCCAGTACAGTTGCTTTTTGTACTATCACAAAATACAAAGCCTGAATTCCTGCCAAGCAATTACACAGTCATGCTGTTATTTTTAATCCTAAAATGTAAATAGAAGTATTATGCATGCCTAGATAATGCTAGATACTGCTACCAAAATGGAAGCAGGAAATGAGTCCTATCAAAACCGTGACACATATATCTCAAGGAGTTCAACATGTGAATAAATGATCAATCTTCACTGGTAAATATGAATAATATATTTTTTAAAAATTTTAAATTAAATACCTGAAGAATCCTGGATAAAGTATTCTGACAAGAATTAGCTGCACATTCATCAGATCTAGAAATTGATTGCCAACTGTGTATTAAGGCTTCCCAAGAACCATTTGCTTTCACTGTTAATCCAAAACCTACATTGCAATCGCTTTTCTAACAGAGCACATCTAAATAGCCTTATGCTCCTTACTTGCACATTTTTAACACATACTGATGTAATAGGGCATATATTACAGCACTTAGTCAGGCAAATACAACTCAAGTGAATAGAAAGCAATCTTAAATTCACAATAACAAGATACATAAATCTCTATGAACTAGAACAGTGCATCAGGAATACCATTTATTTACTTTTCCATGCTGTCTTGGTCATTCCTATTTCAGAAATAGTACAAGATGTTATCTGTAGTATTACCATGCCGTTCACTGAGGTACTCGAAGTGCTCTGTGGACATTAGCTCAAGTCACATTTGTGAGGCAGAAGCTAAAGGAGGAGGTTGTGAAAGGCAAACCCCTGTAGCTCCAAGAAAGGTGAAGAGAGGTGAGAGCATACTGCCTTCTGATGCAAAAATAAGAACCGAGGTGATTTTTTTGCCTTCAGTAAAAGGGAAAAAAAAGCAGTGGTTTTAAACCTCTTCTTCCTCCCATTTTCACTCTTTCTTTGTCTCACAGATGGAAAAAGTGGAGCAGAAAATTGCTTTGCCCAAAGCCACACACTGGCAGTAATTGAACTAGCGGACAGCACTGGTTTAAATAGAAAATGTGCCATATATTCATATTATTCAGGCTCTTCTAACTGCTGTTTCTTTCTCTTGTCCACAGATGCCATTTACTTTCCAACTGCAGTTGCACAGCACTTCTGGTAGCGGAATCCTGCAGGGCTTCCCAAATTTTGAGTTGCTTTCAAGGAACTTCAAGAAAACAAGAAGGAATAGGAGATACCAAATTCACTGAGTTCTTAAGAGAGAGTCTCAAATTTTGGATGCTCTTTTCCCAAGAAAGAGATTAAGGAGGCAGCTCTGATTTCTGTTCTTGCCCAGCAATCGTGACCCTGATTTCTAATACAAAGCAGCTGGTGAATCTCACAGAGTCCAGCCTCACTGCGCTGCGTAATACACTAAACATAGTGAGAGCTGTTGTTCTGCTCAATGCACAGTCTTAAGTAGCGACACACTGAAAAAAACTCAATACCCATGTATTAGGTGAAAATTGAGACACAAAGAAGTTAAGAAATTAAGCCAGTCACACAGGGGCTTGGTGGCAGACCTCAGCAGTGGATTTCTGGAGACCCCTCTAGCCCTCTGCAGCATGCTGCCACCCCAGCTTCAGGAGAGAAACACAATGTGTTTGAAGGAGACCATATAGCAAAGTACATACTATTAGAGTCTAAAAGCAGAAAATAATGGAAGCTTAAAAGATTCATACCTCCTTCTCCAGAGCAGCTGTTTTTATACCAGAGGTGAGATTGAGGTTTACCAGACCATACTTTTAAAACCAAGTAGATGCGTCAGATCAATGGAATTGACTTTTCTTCTCAAGGAGGGGCTAAAGAGCAGGGCTTGCAGTGAGAGACAATGAATCTTCCATGCAGCTTTTGTGGTAAACGAGATCAGACATCACAGCTGCGTTGAAGGACCTGGTGACAAACACCACAAAGGCTGGCTGATACCCAGCAGCCCATCAAGTGGGTGCTGCTTCAACATGGGGAAGCAATGGTCTGCAGGACCTGTTACGTGCAAAATCTTGTTAGGGGCAAAAAGAAACCCATCCTATGTGTAAAGTCACACAAAATTTATTATTAGTGCAACCTTAGCAGTCTAATCAAAGAATTATTATTAGTCCAGATCTAATTATTGCAGAAAAAGAAAGGAAATAAAGACATTTTATAGAAAGGCTCAGTAATACTACTACAGTTAAAAATACTATGCATGCGCTACCTAGTACCTACCCCTTCTCCTGGTGTCATGCTTACCTTTTCGCCTCCCTGTGGCTTCCATCTGGTGGAGGGAGCACAGCGGATCATCAGCATCCAGACTCCTGTGCCTGTAGGAGTGCGATGTTGGTGTTCATGGTTTCTTCTTCTTTCTCTCCTTTTTCCTCTTTTGGAAATGGCTCTCACCTGGGCCTATTTTGACATGTTTTCTAATACAGTTTTACACCTCGCTTTTTCTTCACTAGTCTGCAATTACATGTTTTATATATGATTTATCTGAGATACTTGTTCCTTCTTCTCTTTTTTACCCCCAAGACTAGTTTTGTCCAGCTCCAGGTCTGCATTTTTTTAATTGACCATTGGCAAGTTATTTATAGCCATGGGGTCTTCAGTGCCAGCCTGTGCCCCATCTCCTATCATCCCATGCCTCTATATTTTTCTACAGAGAATAACTACTTATTATTAATATATATATATATAAAAACTGTGGTTACACCATACAAATCAAAAGTAAAACATATTACCCATAGTCTCCTGTCATTAGAAAAATCGTTATTACAGCTAAATCAAGTAAAACCAAAGCTCCAGGAAGATCAGGCGAAGTTCAGACAAAGCACATGCGATAAGCCCCTCTCCTGAGGTCTTGTAAACTCAGGATAAAGCCTGTGCGCCATTACTAGCAATAGCAATACAGCTGCAGCATTGTTACTAGTATTACTGGGCTACCTGCTGTTTATTACCTCCAATTCTGGATTAACACTTGTACATTGCATACTGTATGGAGCAGCCAAGGTAAATATTTCCACAAAGGGCAAGGGAAGGAAGCAGGAAGGAATACTGCTGACTAGAAAACAAGTCATTGCACCTGAACTCATTAGTTTTATGAGGACAGTTCATCGTCCACACACGCTCAACTTGGGCACACGGGGTGTGTATGCTGCAAACAAGGTCACAAAAACCTGATACAACAATTACTGTGTGACAGTTGAATTGGAGGCCACCCTAGAATAGCATAATGATGACTCCCGATTTTATAGTTTATTTCAAGGAAGTGGGGAATATTAAGCATCTTCCAATAGATATTCTCTAAGTATAGAACAGGATAATTATTTGAGCTTTTGTCTAGTCATAGAATAGAAACTATTTAAAGCAGCGTCGGCTCATCTGTTTAAAGTATATATTCATGGCAGAAAGGAATCAACATTTGGCTTTGAAAAAATAATTTTAATCAATTTTTTCATCAGTATGGTCCATCATGTTATTCAGAAATAGCTTCTTTCAGTAAATGGATTGTGAATCAATAGTAGATATAAAGAAAGCAGTACAAAGGGCACAGCATTCAACAAGCTGCCAATCGGTGGCGCAGAAGATGGCAGAAATCAGTATTCCAAGATGGATACACAAATAAATCAGAAATGGGCAGATAATACACAAAGATGCCACCTTTTTATAGAAAAAACAGAGTTCTGTCTTGTCCCAAGAACCACTGAAATATAAATAAGTTATGGACCAAAGATCATTCTGGAGCCAGAAAAAAAAAAAAAAAAAGGCTGCCAAAGATCTTTCTGACGCCAGAGGAAAAAAAAATTAAAAACTGCAGTTTGTATCATACTTCAAAGGATCAATTCTTGAGATATACTGAATAGCCGCAATTCCTGTAAGGTCAGTGAAAAGTGGTTATTACTCAGCACTTTTTAGGATCTGGCCTCCAACAGAAAGAGGAATAAAAAAAAAGTTCTCTCAAGCACACAGATCATAATGAATTCGTATTAGTTATTCACATCAGGACAATCTTATTTAAATGTCGCTAGTAAGAACTTTGAACATGACTCATATTGTGTCTGTCATAACTGTTAATTATTAATGAATAAATGTGTCATTTGGGACCTGGCTAATATTTCCAGGCCATTTGTGTGAATAGTTGTTTTCAATTGTGAGAGTGCCACTTGCCAGGAATTCAACGTCTTTAATTTCATAATTATAAACCATACATTATGTTAATCTGAAAAATCTCATTACTCTCTTATAAAATCTATGAGCTTTGCATCTGTTAAAAAAACGTGATTCTTACAGCATAGTTTGAGCCTGCAGATTACACATTCAGTTATGTTTTTTAAAAAAATAAAGATAAGGAGAGAATATTTGCAACTACTGACCTACAACTTCAGATTGCACAAGTTGGCATGCTCACTAACCATGAGGTTTTACATATTTTCCAGAAGAATTTATTATTTAAATGAGAATTATGCATAATTATTGCAAACCATATAATTGTCTAATTTCACTTTGAACCCTTCTAAATTACTGACTTCAAAAGCCGTGATATTGCAGTAAAAGAGAAACTTGACTCAGAGGATGAATGCACTTGAATCAGTTTTGAATTTGGCACATTTTAATGTAGCTGTTCTGTTCTTACTGCCTCACAAGACAGAATTTCCCATTATATCTTCTTAACACCATCTGTTAATAATGTTTATGACAGTACCGCATAGGGGGTCGGCTGGGAATGGGGCCCCAAATGTGCCAACACTCTATATAAAAGTAATATAAGCTAGTCTCTGCCTGGCAGATTCAATAGACAATAAAGCTGGAAGGAAGCAGTAGGGGCAGAGGGAACAATGAGATGGCAACATACAGCCTACCATTTTTATTTTTGTTTTCATTTGAATATTTCAGTCCTTTTCCTGAGGCTCTGTTATGAAAGAACTGAATAGACAACAAGACCAAGGTAACAAGGACGCCGACCAAGCTATAGGAAGCAGCCTATCAAAACACATCAGATTTCAGAGTGCAAACTCCAAGAAAGCAATTCAGTGGCACAGCCTTGGCTTCAGTTTATAGATGCGCCTTGCTTTTTCTTCCCTGTACAGCCCATGTTCAGTCCTAGTACTACCTTAAGTATCCCACCCCTACATGCTCTGGGTGAGGGGGGTGGACTTACCTTATTTAGTACCTACTCTCTAAGAGGCTAAAAATTCAGTGAAGTTGTGCTTTCAATATATTTGTTCACTAGAAAGCATTGCTATTTTATAGGTAGAATACTAAAAGACAAAAATTGTCTGGCTCAGAAAACCTGGGAACAAATAAGTACATCTACAGCATTCCTTTTTTTTAATCTATAAACTTTGCTTTCTCGAGCATTCTTTGCAATAACTAATACATGTAATACTTTTGTCATTATTCTGTAGCAAGAAACACGTGCATTACCCCATTTTTGTCAATAAAGCCTTCCAATTATACATCTTCATTGGATCAATATTGACAATTATTTTGAGCACACTTCAGATGAATATGGACATAAAACACATACTCATTATTGCAAAGCAGTCTCAGGCATCCTTCTATTGGCAACATCAGTACAGATGAGTGAAAGTCTTACACTGTATCACCCAAGCCATCTAAGTACATTAATGCCTAGAAATGGGAAAAAAAAAAAAAAAAAGACAACAGTTACAAGCCAGTACTGTATCCAGGATACTGTTTGTTTTTTCAAAATTCAATCAAATGAGTGTAAGGTCCATTTGTATCCATTTTTAACACCTGCCTGTTTCCATATGTGCCATGCTTGACGAGAACACCTGCTTCCATACATTTGGCATTGGCAGCCAGTTCTTTTTCACACAAAGTCACAAACTGAGAATAAAGTTCCAGCCCTTTTTCTTTTTCAATGTTTGCATGGTACTGCATCTTTCTTCCCTTCAGTTTACCACCTAGGGTAGCTTGTGGTATGATTAACACATTGCCTGGTAAATCAAGAACAGAAACATACTCGCCGCTTTCGTTTTCACTTAGTTTAACATTCAACAGCATATTGACTGCAAATAAAAATAAAATAAGAGTTAGTGTAACTAAAGTAAATTAAACAGTAAATAACACCATAAACAAGATTCAACAAATATTGCAATGCGTGACAAACTATTCAAAGAAACTGTTTATAAATTAAATGAAACATGGACAGTCAATAAATGCTATGAACCAAGTAAGATGTCTGAGTGTTGTGAAGAACATGAAGGATATTTATATTACTATAATATGTCTAAAGAGTTATTCTTGAGGGGAAGTGGTTGGCTGTCTGAAATCCTGAAGTTGATTCTAGTTAGACACCCCCAAAGGAACCCAGGATCCAATTAGTGGCCCTAACTTAGTTGCCTCATACTCAAATAGGCAACATTTGCTCAACACTACACATTGTAGGAGAAAACACCATCTTCAGTGCACTTTGGAGAAGTTTCTGCCCTAACTGTATTTTCATTCTGGTTGCAGTAGTTTGCAGCAGGACCCAGCGCTGATCTGGGCTGAAGCCACAGCTCAGCAGCTTGATCTCAAGTGGACTGAGTGCCCTTCAGTGCTCCACTTCGAGACATGCAGGTGCCAGCTTGTCTTTTGAGAGAGGAAGTGGGCAGGAAGGTTGGAGGTGTCATTTGGCCCGTAAGCCAGAATATATAAACTTGCAAATAAAATCAATTAATTTACTAACTTTGTATTTTCCAATGTTTCTACAGCAAATCAAATCATTCCACCAGAACTTCCTCCAACTCTATAAAAGCTGAGAGGATACTAGTCATGCCTCCAAACACATAAAAGTTTAATGTTGTTCGAAGCAAAAAGAGGTGAGTTGTGGTTCAGGAACCAAAACCACTCATTTAACCAGTTTCAAAATATATTTAAGAAAAAATGTTCTGTAAGGCAGACGCTTAAGGAGGGTGGTCATAGATGAATCTCCTAATAGGAAACAGAACTTTGTTTTTCTGGCCTGTTTCAGCTGCCACACAGTTAAAAAGGTCATTATTCTCAAGTAACACTCTCATGAAACTCTCACAAGCTAAAATAAATAAATATATCATAGCTTTAAATACACCCAAAGATTTCAACTTAGTTTAGCATCATAGAAAGGCTGTGCCCTCCAAGATGAAAAAAGAACTCCCAAGGAGCTGCTACCAGCATTTTCAATAGCACCTGTGCTTGCGCACTGCCAGGTCTTTCTGCTGGTCGCAGCAAGTAGTCTACTGTTGCATGACCTTTTCCAAAACCACTAATATCAGTCAGCCACAGAAAAGAAAAGGGGTACTTTTATCTGGAATATGTGGCATCATGGAATTTCCCAGGTGACTCAGTGCTATTAATGGAGGAAAGGAGGGAAAAGAACCGAAGTCAAAAAGAAAACAAGAACAAAACAAAAAACCTCAAGCCAAAACAACAGTGGGTGAAGACAGAAATCACTACTATTTGACCTTATCCACAGCATCTTCTCTGCTTTGATGTAAATGTTAAAGTGCATGTGGAGAAGAGGGAAAGAACTACAGATATTGCTGTTATCACTTCTGAACCAGAAAACTGCACTTGGAAATGCTGACAGTGTATATAGTATCTCTGAAATGAGATGGGAAGGACAGTATTTAGTTATCCACCCTACTCCCTCTACTGGCTATAATTTTAAATATCCTGCACACACAGTGAGATCAGTGTTAAAATGCTTCTCAAATCAAGCTATGAATTATTTGAAAACAGTTTTCTCTAAATTCAGTTCTGTCCTGGACTGACCCTGTTGCCTGGTTCATGTAATATGTCAAACAGCAGGTGCAGCACTTTCTCGGTTTGCTAGAATGTTATCATCATGGGAATTGCTCTTCTAACAGGTTGATCATGAGAAGACGGACAGAATGAGGGGTGTCAACAACTGTCAAAAGAAACCACACTGACCAAGCAGTTCTTTCAGCCAGGTGATTGATTTGGAATGATACTATCTGATGGCTTTTTGACTTCTTGTCCAAATGGTTCCTGCCTTTTCTGCCTATACTGCTTTCCTTCTTTTTCAAACAATACAAGAATTTATAAGGATACATCATACCAATTTTTGGAACAAGATCCTCATCAGCACCTTTGAAGAAGCATATGTAGATAACAAGCCCTCTCTGGATCTATGAGAGATTACAGAAAATGATGTCAGTGTTTCTCATTGTCCACCATGCACACTCATCATTAAAACTGGTATAAAAAATTACAAAACTACACAACAAAAAAACTTCTGAGAGTAGTTTTAGTTATTTAGTATAGCTTCAGACATCAAGTTTACATACCACACTGTGGAAGCTTATGAGATACATACTAATTATCTGCACAATGCTTCTAATACAATTAAGCCAATTTATTAGCTCCATGCAAAGCCAAATTTAGTTGGAATGTACCATGTACAGTATTATCATAGACAAGGTGACAAAATGAACTAGTATACTTAAATCCAGCACAGGATATAACTTAAGCTTTTTTCCTATCAAACATACAGATAAAATAATTTTCAGTGTGAATTATGAGTTTATATCCGTTTATGAAATAGACAAACAGCACAGGACTTGTCAGTGAATTGAATTATTTTTTGATGTTAAAAGTAATCAAGTACAGGATAATTCTGAAAAAACAGTCTGTTAATTGAAGATTTAAATATGATGACCATTTTAAATAAGATGACCAACAACCATGAAGTTGTTCAGGATATTATAAAGTTGTTGAAAATAGTATTTATCAGTTTGGATGAAGTCTTTTTGGTGAAATGGGACCTCTCCCTTGATTTGTGCAGAGTAAAGGACATGCCACTTCTTTAGCATTCAGAGAGACTACTTGCAAGAACTGTATTTTTGAGGAAGGAATTAGGTCTATACTGAGGAGAAAGCACAAGGCAATTCTTGTGCAGCTTTTCTACTCTCTTGGTTAGTTCACAAGCAATGTGTGTGCAACAACCTGTGCTTTATTAAAACAAAATGATCGGCTCTGCAGCCAATAGCAATTATGTCTCATGCACAAGAAGAATACCTTAATGATTTATACTTCTTCGGAAAAAAAGAGAAAGGCATGCAATATCCACAGGCATACAGTATCTAAAACACCCTCACTGCTGCTTTGTCAAGAATAGGTAGCCTTATATTTTTGTTAGAAGAAAAATAAACGTCAGCTTGTGAAATACCACCTAAGAGACGCTAACTAGATTGGGCAGGAAGGAGTCATTAATATTGATGTTATCGAAGCAAAAGGGTAAGAAGTGTGATCAGTTTTTTAAAAATACCTTTTTTTTTTTCCCCTCTCCCCCTTTTTGGTGAAGAAAACTTAGCTATACACATGAGGTTTTATTCCTTTGTTACTGTAGAGATTAAACAAAATGCTCAAGGCAATGACTAAGAAAAGCTATGCCTTCTCAACTATTTTCCTTGTGACTAACCTCTAGAAAAAGAGAATGCTCTTTGTAGCCAAAACGTCACATGCTGAGATCTTTCAAAAGCTTTAAATGGCTCCTTTCAAAACTCATGTTGACCACTCATAATATTATACAGGTTCCCAAATGACTGCCATATTTCGTAAACATTGTAAGAAATGTGATGGCCTGAACCTCAAATGACATTTCAATCCATCTGTTCAAATAAAGGAGAGAAATACAGGCTGCCAGAAATTAGATATCCTTACATATTTAGCTAAATATTCATTCCAGAAACAGACCAGCATCAGGATTATTAATAGAGAATAACAATGCACACTAATAAAATACTAATAAAACCGCTTGTGATAAAACTGGCCAAACGCATTGACACTGTATACATCAGACCACTGCCTTAGAAATAAGTGACTCTGCTGTGTAGCGCACATCACAGAAGATCATGCTAATTCTGAGACTTGTGACAGTATTTTTTGCACAGTCTCACATACAGAAGTAACAATATTCTGCAAGCAGCTCATTTAAGAAGATGAAAAGGTAAATAAAGTGACATCTGCAAGTCCTAAGGCCAGACAGCTAAAGATTAAGTAAAAACATTCATTATTTTTCCAGCCTCTCTGAGGATTTGATGCCTATTTTTGAATATACTTTTTATCACAAGATGAGACATACCTATGGAGGGAAATTACAGGGACAGGAGGTTGAACAAAAAAAAAATGATTCAGAGACAAGTTAAAGCTGCTTGAGGATGCTTCTATTCATATTGCATGTTTATCATCTTCTAGAGCGCTTTTCAACCATGTTATAATTGAAAACTATTCAACTATTTGTAACTATGACTGAAAACTGTGGTTGAACCCTATTTTCAACACGTGTGCAACCATGTTTCAACCTCGTCATGTCTCACTTCTTTGTTCTTTAATTTTCTTAATTGGATAGAAGATGTAAAATTGAATGCAATTTCAAGAGCTAACCTAATAGTAATGCATGCCAGTCCTCTGATCTTCTCTCAGTGTTTCAGATGTCCTAAGACTCGTGCTTCTTGCAGATGTAAGGAATGGGAACGTGTAAACCTTTTGAACCAAAGCAAAAACATTGCCATTGCTGAAGGTCCTCTGTAACCTATCAAAGTCTAGTTGACTGCTCTTCAGAGCTATATTTAACGCAGGAAAAGTCAAGCAAAATAACACAAATAAGAAGGTTACAAATTCAACATGCTGACGTGCAAACAGCCACTGCAAGGAACTTAACGTAGTGACAGGCAGGCAAAACTGTGCTCAATGTGAATTTGCTGTTATCAGTAAAATGTCTACATAAATAAACCAGCAAAGCATGTTACTTTGCAGCACTGGCATTTATTATACAACTGTCCTAAGTAATCATCAGACCAGGCAACCTGCATCACGAAGGGTTGAAGTACCCAGCCCCTAAAGCCATATAGCCAGCCTTAGCAATGCTGCTTCCAAATACACCTTTTTAGCACTTTTGCAGGAAAAATAAATAACTAAACCCTACCTCACCCTCCTGACTAAATACATTCATCTGAATTTTGCAGGATTTCATTAGCAAACCCCAAATATATTCTGTAAAATGTTATCTCAACTGTACCTTTTTTTTTTTTCAGGAAAACATAATGCAACTGATAATGAAAATGGAGACACTTTGTAATCCTTAGGAATCCAGTTTGTGAAATTATATACATTTTTCTTTGACATTTCTGTTTCAAGTTCAGATTTGCTACCCCGTGAGAAGATTTCTTCATGTTTCAGACATTCAGCTGCAGCAAAGAGAGATTACATCATCCACCACAGGACACAGAACAAGTCTGTGCCTGTTACTTTGCACCTCTTTTTGCTATCTTAACCAGAAGACAAATCAAGGGAAGTAAGATAAGGGAGAGATGGTTTTCATTGCATAAACCGTAAGCACTCATACTTTTTAGCTGAATATTCGTTTTTATTTTTCTTTTTTTCCATAGTTGTGAAATACACTAGATCTCACCATATTGCTCCCCAGTACAAGGAGAGTTCCTTTTTTCCTCTTAAGTATTTTGCTGTATACATAAACCCATTACGGATGCTATCTAACCAACATTTCTCCATAAACAAGACATCCCATCCCCAGTAATCCTCAACAGGCCAGAAAAACTCAATCATAAAAACACAATGAAGAGCAGTGATTCATGTATAAATAAAAAGTACACTCCTAACCTTTTTCCAGACAACGAACATCCGCTCTGAAGTTCCTGAAGTACCTACAGGGGTCTCTTAAAGCTCAGAAGCTATTCAAAGCCACCTACATAACATGCTGTTTATAGTACACTAGAAATTTGTCAAGGTGAGGACCTACTTTTAAGTTGTTACAGATCATCAGGAACACACTGCTTTATGTAAATAATAGTTTGTGAGGACTATATTTTTAATTTTTACATTGATATGCAATTCTAGGAAGTAACATTACCCTACCAGAAAATGTCAGCAGCAAAGATTCCTTCTAATGACCTCTCAAGTAGTCATAGCAAATAAACTATCAACTTCCCATAGGTTTTTGCTGCATGGTGACTAGTTCTTGTTACAACAGACTTCTCCTAAAAAGACCCAGGTATCCAGGAAAGAGGCCTAAGTACCTATGACAAATATTAGCAATGTTCGTGTCTGAAAAATATCTGCTGCTGAGACTACCCAAATCTCTTGCAGGTTCCTTTAGTGCAACTACTACTTTCCCAGCTATTTTCGTTAAACCATTTAAAACTTCAAATAAGAGATATAAACAGCATAACTGCCTTGTAATAGAGTTAGTCATGGTATCTTTACACCGTAACATATGCCTCTTTTCACATAGTTTAAAAGAAAGCCAGCAAAATGACATTTCAGCTTTTATTTACTAGATTTACAATTACTTCTGAGATTAGCAAGCTAGGAATAGGATATGTCTCCTAAAGTTAATTTATGCTGTGCTGAGCAACTTATACTATAATTAACCTTACACTGAGAGGCTAACAATGCAATACACACAGATGCACTTCAGCCAAACACAGTATCTGTGAGATGACACGTTATTTCCTTTGAGCAAAACGTTCTGGTTTCCCAGACCACGCTGCAGAAACTAGGTCTTACCGATCCACCTGCCTCTTCTGAACAAGGAGAGAAATGTTTTAAGAACAACGTGAAAGTCAAACAGTGGAAAAAAACCTAGGGACAGACTTTTTTTAAAAAACTCTCTTCAGATTTGTTGAATGAACTTATAAGCCCTTTAAGCTTTTAAAAAGTTACATGAGTGACTATATTTAGCCCCTTCTGTTTTAGTAGTTTTTTAAGAAAGACAAAAGGCAAAACCAAAAAAACCCAAGGGCTAAATAGTTGACACCTGCACAGATGAGCTATTCTAGTGCAGGTAATCCCTAAAGAGTGACAACTACAGCAGGACAGGGCATCCCAAAGGGCAACCTTCAACAAGGCACGTGTCGAGTTCTGCACCTGGGGAGGTTTAACCCCATGCACGAGTACAGACTGGGAGCTGACCTGCTGGAAAGCAGCTCTGCTGAGAGGAACCTGGGAGTCCTGGTGGACGATGAGCTGACCATAAGCCAGCAGTGTGCCCTTGTTGGCAAGAAGGCCAATGGTATCCTGGGGTGCGTTAAGAAGAGTGTGACCAGCAGGGCGAGGGAGGTTATCCTCCCCCTCTACTCTGCCCTAGTGAGACCCCACCTGGAGTACT